CCAGTGCCGATCCATATGATGTCGATGTCTCCTTCGTGCCGCCCGTGCTTGCGGGGCCCGCTCGAGACCGCGCTGCTGCCGTGCTGCTGGGCGACCACGCCCCCGTGCGGCGCGCGATGCCTGCGAGCCCCGCGGCGAGTGGGGTTGGAAGCAGAAGCGGGCGAAGCTCGAGCTGCTGGAGCGCTTGGCGGACTCCAGCATGCTGGGGAGCTGCGAGGAGGCGGCCGCGTAGGTGAAGGTCTTCGCATTGCTGAAGAGGCTGGGCGCGGTGACGGGCGAACGCAGTTTTAGGTTCATCTAGGACATCGGGAGGTCCAACCTGAGGTTCAGGTCACCGCCAGTGCCGGGCCAGGGCTCGGCCGCAGCGCCGTGCGGCGTGGGCCTGGTTTTGAGCGTGTGCGGGGGCCTCGAGGTGGCGGGCGGGGGAGTTGAGGTCGCGCCTGGTGGAGGGAGGTCGGCGAGATCTTGTCGGATGTCATGGCGGAGGCGGGCTCGCGTGCTCGAGGGCGTTGTCCATGAGGTCCGCCTGGGCCGTCTTCTTCGCGCGCTCCACCCTGCAGGGCGTCGTGGGGGGCGCGGGCGGGCTCCGGGAAGCTGGCCGTATTATGTGCGCGTCGGTGGTGCCTCAGGTCTACAGGGGGTCGCGCTTGCACTGGGTCCTCGTCGACGATGGCGCCGACCTCCGCCTCGAACCCGAGGAGTTGGAGGGCGCAGAGCGGCGCGCGGAGGCGGGCCGGGCCAGGGCGAAGCGGGCCCGCGAGGCAGGGGGTCGTGCAGTCCACCAGGTGGACTTCGGGAGGGCCCCAGGGGCGTTCGCGTGGGGCCACGCTCGGCGCGTGCTCCAAGGTGGTGCAGGTGGTGGGAGAGAAGCTGCGCTCGGCGATCCTTGCCGCAGAAGCGTTTTTTTGAAGAAGGAACAGGCAGTCCCGGCCGTGGTGTCGCTTATGGGGCTCTGGGCTTGAATCGTCGCCTGCGCGCGGGGTGCAATGGGCGTGACTCATCGCGCGTATCGCTGGATGCAGGAATATCGAGGCCGAGAGGGGGATCCCCTCTGGAGCGAGGTGCTAGACGAGTTCTTTGTGGTGGTTTCGCTCTTGGTGTGCTATGGCGCGTATCTGGGCTCGGAGTGGCGCGAGTTCGTGTTCGTGGCGGACGCCGGCTATTTGGGTTTCGGCGTCGCGGCGAGCCGAGCGGATGTCGATGAGATTAGATCTATGCGAAGAGGGGGGCGAGCAACGATGGCCGACGAGTCCTCGCGAATCCTATTCAGAAATGGAGGAGCGGGAGAGGGTCCAAGGGTTTACTGGCAGGTCCACTTGACGCCGCCGTGTGCTCTTTGTCGAGGGCGCGATTGCCTCGCCTCCGCGCTCCGAGGGAGGCGTGGGGAGTTCAGGGATTGAGCGTGGGACGTCGGGAGCTGGTGGACGTGGGCGCCTACCCGAGAATGATCGCGGTGGAGATGATCGGGGGGAATGCCTGAAGCATGGGGTGTCCTATTCAGTTAGGGAAACCCCGCGAGCTCGCTCTGCTGGCTGTTCCCGCCGATGGTGGAGATCATGGGGCGGAGGGGCGTCTGCTTGGTGGGCTTGGGCTTCAGCGTCTACGGGGCGGAGTGGAGGAGGCGTGCGCGTGCGCCGACGAATGCGTCGGTCTCCAGGGGCTGGATCGCAGATGCGCGGGGTCGACCAGTCGGTGCTCGAGGGCTGGGTGCCCGCGTCGGCCCCGACGAGGCGTCGTGGCCGCAGGAACCTTGGGGTACGGGGACAGATTAGGGTGGCGCTGGGCGGGTCGAGGCTGCCCCCCCTTGCCCAGACGAGCGGTGCGAGGAGTGCGAGGGGGCTGGCTGGTGGCATCGGCGGCGCCGTTGTGCGCTGGGCCGAGTGCGGCGCCGAGGGCGAAGAGGCCGCGCTTGCTGGGTCCGCGGGGTCTCTCGGCGGCGAAGGATGTTCCCGACTCAGTGGCGCGCGTGGGCCGCGGGCTCTCGGCGGTTGCTAGGGCCCTGGGCCAAAACGATCACCGGAATGTTTTCGAGTGCTGTGCGGTGGTCGTGGCTCTGCGTCGGCTCGCTCAGAGCAGGCGAAACTGGGGCCATAATGTCGTGATCATCACCCGCGGCCTGGTCGCCGTGGGATGCCCGACGGAAGGTCGTTCGTCGCCTTGGGCGTTGTTGAAGCAGGCGCGAGCCACTGGGTTCATTCAGCTAGTCCCGGGTATTCGGCCGAGGTTTTTCTGTGGATGGTCAGAGCGAAACGTGGCAGATAGGCCGTCGAGAGGTGCGCCGCTGGGGCCAGGCCCGATGCGATCAAGAAGGGAGAGGCGAACGTGATGGGCTTGCTCCGAGGTGCGAGGATGCGGGTGCTGGATACGGCAGGACACCCACGACGTAGAGGACGGCACTTGAGCTGCTGCTGCTGTGTCTATGCAGGTGGGCGCGGGCAGGCATGCTGAGCGAAGACGTAGGGCGCAGCAACTACGTGCAGCGGAGCACGATTTTCGAGGTTTTGCGGAGTTGCGCACGCCCTCGGGCACGTTTGTCCCTCCGCGCAAGGGAAGTGCTTGGGCTTGGAATTCAGACGAGGATCACCCCTTCGGAGACTTGATGAGGCCCGTCAACGAGTTGCTGGCGCTCGAGGTCACAGACAGCACGAACAAGATCTACGCCAAGTGGATCCATGAGCTTCTGAAGGACGTGCGCCTGCATGGAGTGAACGTCGTGTCTCATGAGGAACGGGGCCGCGCTCTGGCTGCCTGCGTGTCCTACCTGTGGTTTTGCAAGCAGCTGTCCCGTATCCACGGAGAGCAACTTCTGTCGGGTTGCGTGCGTATGTTCCCAGAAAGCATGGGCGAGCTTCCGCTGGCACCGCGCGCCCTGTCGGTGCGGCAGACGTTCAAGATGGCCCGACAAGGCGGGGACTTCTGTCGTTAAGTTGTGGTGCTCCTCATTGGTGACGTGCTGGAGCGAGGCAAAGCGATGGCAGCCTGTGTGGTATATGTTTCGCATGACACGGTCTGTCGGGAGCAGGACTGGGCGTCGCTCAGTGTCGAGAACCTTGCCTTCGACGGGGGCGCCCTGGCCATAGTGTTTGGAGACCGTCGCCTAGGTGGCGAGGTAAAGACGGGCTCGAACCAGGACCTCGATACAAGATTTCCGATTAGAGCGGCACTGGTTAGAGGGCTCGTGTCAGGATGCGACGAGGAGGATGCGCTCCCCATCGGTGTCGCGGAGAACAGGGGGCAGTGGACCATCGGCATGCTGAGGCTTGGTTCTGAGCCACCCCTGCACGCCTCACAGCATGCGGCGCGCCGCGGCCGGCGAGTTCGTGGCGGGGGGCGGGGCGTTGTAGAGCTGTCGGAGGCCGGGGCGCTCGGCTGCGCTCTCATCAGTTCAGAGGTATGCGAAAATGAACAACGTTGTTGAGGCTCGTGCCACTGTGACAGCTCAACAGTGAGAACAAGGCCAAAGTTTTGAGGCTGCTCCTGACATTTTTCCTGGGATCTTCGATGGGGCCCGACTGCTGCCGCCTCGTCGTCGCTGCTGGACTTCGAAGCTAAGGTTCCTTTTTCTTCTGGAGGTTGTCTCCGGTGGCCATCGGGGTGACTGTGTGCGCTTGGCACTTGGGGGCGGACCCGAGCCCTCTAATGCTTAAGTGCGTGATTTCGCGCTTGTCTGGAACAGGAGGCCTTGATCAAGTTGTTTTTGTCGTGTTTTCTGTCCTGGTCCCACCCGTCCCACCCCGCGAAACAAGGGGCGTGCGATAAACCAGAGCAGGAGGTTCGGTTGACCAGCGCGACCCTGCTGAGCTTGTGTGTGTTCGCGGGCCCGTGCTCCGCTTGTCCCGCTTGCCCAGGATCTGGAGCCCCCAGGGGCCTGTCCGTGAAAGAGGCGCGCCACATCGTCGGGGACTCGCAGGGTGGAGGGGCCTGAGCTCTGGCCAGGAGTTTTCCGACTCAAGGGTGAATATATACACTGTGCTTTGAAACTGTGTGTTGCCCCCCCTCGTCCCTGCGCCGACCGGGCGTCTGTTCCATAACCATACTTGCTCAAGCTCACCCGTCCTGAAATTTTTATAACAAAAAAGATTATATGTACATATGGTGTATATTCATATCTGTATATGCACACAAATCGCATGGTGCGAATTCAGGATTCACGGCAGGGCCTTGCTCAGCTTGTGAGTTTGGCGGGCCCGTGCTCCGCCTGCTCCGCGTCTCAAGGATCTAGAACCCTCGGGGCCTGTCTGTAACAGAGGCGCGCCACATCGTCGGGGATCGCGAGGTGGCGGGGTTTGAGCTCTGTCCCGGGGTTTTCGGGCCCAGGGGTGGAGATAATGCAGTGTATCGACTCCCGAAGTCCGTTCTGTGCTGCTCTGGTGCTGCGGGTGCTGTGTCGTGGTGCCGGACCGTGGTGCCGTGCCATGCCGTGCCCTGCCGTGCCGTCGGTTTCGTTCCGTGCCGTACCGCGGTGCGGTAGTTTGAAGCGGAGCACGGGCTTGAGGGGCCCAGCATGGTCCGAGGTTCCGGGCTGTGCCGTATCGTCAGTGCCGCTGTCGGTGCAAGGATTCTGGCTGGGATCCAAAGAGTAGAGTTTAATGTGATTGCGAGGTTTTCGTTTTCAGCGATTTGCGGTATTCCTTGGTGCATTTGTTCGCGGACAGAGGCCGTCCTTCGCTGCAGGAACATAAGGAGAGCCCACGGGAAGTGCCGTTACATTTTTTGGGCAAGTTTGCAGAAATACGCTTGCCATGTGTAGGAAGGCGGCCTGCCCATCTTGACAGCGCGGCGGGAAAACGCAGAGTCCATCGTCGGTACCATCGTGTCCCCTGGCGCCTAGCAAGTCTGTTGTCGCTGCCGGTTTGACCGAAGGACCACCGTCATCATCATTGCCATGGTCATTCGTAAATGGCTGCTCGGTTCAAGCCGGTGTGGCCCGCGCTCGCTCCAACTGTTTCCCCAGCAGGCACGCGGGGCCTGTCGCCAGGATCTCAGCCTCGATTGCCTTCATGGGCGACGCGGGCGCGAGGGACGCTGGTGGCTCCAACGGCGGGTCTCCGCTGCGCATGGTGCCCGAGGAAGACCTCAAAAAGGAGCGCGAGCGGTGGGTGCAGACCTCCATGAGGCAGGTGTGGGAGCTCGAGAATATGGCCTCGGAACGCATCGCCTCCCAGATTCAGGAAGCGGTGGGCCAGCTGCAGAACGAGGCTGTCAGTCTTCTGCTTCCACGGTTCGAGGCCGAACGCAGTGAGCGTGTCGTTGCGATGGCGGAGCTGCGCGAGCAGCTTCAAGCTCAGAGGGCGGCTGTCGATGCAGAGCTCTCTATCCTTCGCACCAGCCTGGCGACTCCTCCCCTTTCGTCCCCTTTCCTCTTCCTCTGTTGCTCCTCCTCGTTCCTGCTCGCTCCTGCTCGCTCCTGCTGCTGCTGCTGCTGCTACAGCTGCTCCTCTTCCTCCTCCTCCGTCTCCTCTTCCTCTTCCTCCCTCTTCCGTCTCCTCCGTCTCGTCTTCGGCCTCCACGCCCTGCAGGCGACGCGAGGGGCGGGGCTGTCGCTGGAGGCCCCGAACGACCAGCCGAGCGCCGGGGCCGCAGATGTGGCGCCGTGCCAGTCTCGACGCGAGCTGGAGGCTCATGGTGCGGAGCAGCGAGGAAAAAATAATAATAAAAAAAATATAAAAAAAAGAAAAAACAAAAAACAAAAAAAACTCTCCGCTCTCCGGGCGCAGGCGGAGCAGGGCCGGCTCCAGGCACTCGCGGCGGAGTCGGCCATCAGGGACCTCCGCAGCGACCTGGGCCTGAGGGCCGACCAGCAGGAGGCGGCACACGGCCAGCTGCGGCAGGACCTGCGCCGGGAGGTGGAGCGCATCCGCGGCGAGCTCGGTGCAGATCGCAGGCAGGCGGAGGAGCAGGCGGTGCAACGGAGCAGGATGGAGGCGTCCGTGGGCGACCTGCGGAGCCGCGTGGAGGAGACCACGCGCGAGTTGGGGGAGCTGCGCCAGGACCAGCTGTCTCAGACCACTGTGCTCCAGAGCCGCGTCGAGGCTGCCGTGGGGGACCGCGAGGAGCACCAGTCGCACATCGACAGCATGCGCCTGATCATGAGGGAGGAGCAGGGCAGGCGCAGCGCGGAGGGCGCGGCGCTGCGCCAGGTCGAGGCCATCGTCGGCGAGACGCGCGGGCGGATCGATGAGCTGTCCGTGCTGCCCAGCCGGATCGGGGCATTGGAAGCGGCCTTCAAGGACAGCTAGGGGGCCCACATGTGAACCCTACCCCTACCCCCCACGATTTCTGAGGGGAGGGTGGGGGGTAGGGGTAATTAGGGTTCACATGTGGCCCCCTAACAGCATCACCGCGGTCTCCCGACAGCTCGACGGCCCCCGGGCGGGCGCGGCAGAGCTGTCCGGGCGCGTCGCCGCCCTGGAGCAGGGCCTGGCGCGGCAGGCCACGCGGGGAGCCACGCAGGGCCACGCGGAGGAGCTGTTCGCCTCCGCCCTGGCAGATCTGCGCGGGCGCCTCGAGCGCGTCGAAGAGGCGAGGGGTGATCCGGTCCTGGCTTCTGGCTCGACTCCTGGCGCAGATGCGTCGCTCAGGGAGGAGGTCACAGCCCTGAGAGGCGACGTCCGCCACCTGGCGCAGGACCTTGCCGACGAGCGCAGAGACCGCTGCAGGGCGGTCACTGACGTCAACAGGCTCACCGAGGACGTTGCCAAGGCGGCAGCGGCCACCATCGAGCGGGCCGAGAGGAAGCTGCTCGACGAGTGGGCAGACCGCTCCGTCGCCGGCTCCAGCCAGGGGCGCTCCCCCGCGGTGCGCACCCCCGCCGAGCCGATGTCCCCGTTCGCGGTGGACGTGGGCCAGGAGCAGAGCCCGGGCTCGGGCCATGCGGCCGCAGGGCCGCGCTCTGCGGCTCTCAGCGCGGGCTTTGCACGGCTGGTCGGGGAGATGGACGCCGAGCTGCGCGTGGAGCTCAACTCGCGCATCAAGCTCTTGGCCACCGAGCTCCGCAGCGAGATCCTCAGTGAGGCTGCGGCGAAGGTCGCTGGGCTGGAGGCGAAGGCCAGCGCTGCCGATGCCAGCTTGCAATCCAGACTGCAGAGGTTGGCAGAAGACGTGGCCCTTTGCTTGTCGTCCAGGGAGGAGAGCCTCCAACTTGTGCAGAAGGTCTCCAGCCTGGAGGGCGACGTGAAAATGAACTCGGGCATACTGAGCGCCTTCCTGGACGAGCAGAGGAAGAAGGCCACTGTGACCGCGGTAGACGAGGTCGAGGCGGCTGTGCAGCTGGGGATGTGTGTAGACCCGCGGGCCCCCAACCAGTCCAGGACTCCACCTGTGGCTCCGACGCAGGAAGGTATCGGGCACACTCGGCCCAGCAGCGTCGGCCGCTCTCTTGCCAGTCACGGTCGGGACGCAGAGGCCGGGGGCGCGGAGGCATCCCGCCCTGGGTTCGCGGACTACCCTGCCAAGGACAGGCTCCAGGGGCTGATTTCCGCGATCGACAGAGAGAGGTCCATCGACAACGCACTGGACAAGCTCCAGAGGTCCACTTCCTTGGGGCCAGGCGCCAGGACAGAGGATGAAATGCCCGAGACGCGGGTAGCCGACTCAGCCTCGACGGTGCAACACCACTCGGGGCAGCATGTGGAAGATCCCCTCCACGCTTCGCGTGGTAATTTCTCCGTGGCTTCGGTGGGCAACCCCCAGGGCACCTCCGCCAACGTGGCGGCGCCTGTGCGCAGGGACCATCACGACCAGAGGCGCGCGGCGCTTGCGGACGGCACCGACATGGCTACGCAGTCGTGGCCCGGAGCCGAGGCGCGCTGCTCGCAGAGCCCGGGTGCCGGTGCGGCGCCTTCCTCCGCAGCTCAAGCGGGGCAGCCCGCTTGGCACGGCGGCGTGCAGTGGCCGCTGCGCGGCAGCATGCTGGCCGCGGCGCCCGGGCACCCCGTGCCGGGGCAGCCCGTGGCTGTGGGGCAGCCCGGCGCCCAGGCTGCGCCACCGCCGCGGCGTTCGGTGCAGCAGCTCGGCGGGTGCCCCGCGCAGGCAGGGCTGCAGTCCCGGATGTCCGGGGGGGTGCCGCTGCGCGCGAGTGCATACCCCGGCCCGAGCGGCTACACGATCTACAGGTAGGTGAGGTCAGCCCCTTCGCTTCGTGCCGCTTCCTGGCTTTGCCTCGAATCTGTGTGGTCACGATCACCACGGGCATCACCATCACCACTGCCATCACCCTCACCCTCGAAGCCGTGATCCGGTGTGGAGTCGGCGTGAGCTGGGATGCCATCGGGGGGATGGCCGATTCACGGAAGACTCACGCCGAGCCGCGCCAATGCTTTTTAAAACTTAGTAGTTGGTCAAGGGCTCCCTCGAGGGCGCGAAGTTATTCGCGCTTCGCGCTTCGCGGTCCTCGTTCCTTCTCCCCCTCCTCCTCGTCCTCCTATTCTCCCTTTGGGAGGGCGGCGCGAGAGCGCGAAGTTATTCGCGCTTCGCGCTTCGCGCAGCGCGAAGCGCGAACTTAGGAGCCCTTGTTGGTCGAGTGCGGATTCACACCGAGATTTGGTTTCTGAGTCTCAACGGTGGTGGCGCTCGGGCCCCGAGCAGTGGCTCGGACCCCAGGGCAGCGTGTGGACCATCGGGCGGACGGGCGAAGGTCTTCTTCTAGGGGGCCATGTCCAGGGGCAGGCACTGCACCTTAGGCGATGCTTAAGAAGACCTAAGTTTGCGGCCAGAGTCTCGATTATTCTTAACGTTTCAATGTAAATCCCAAGATTTTAATAGAAATGTTGGGTTTTTATTGAAGTTCTGAGATCATGAATTTCTTAACCCATGATTTCTTAAGCATTTCGCAGGGTGTACAGGCAATCCTGGTGGTAGAGGCAGGACCCCATGGCTGCGACTGGAAGTCCCAGGGATAGGCCGGGACCTTGACCACCCCGCGTGTTGTGGCATTCTGCGCAGGAGCCATCGCCGTGCGGTTCAGGAATTTCGCGTGCTGGCCAAACAACGCTGAAGTCTGTGTCTAGGCATACCTCAGGCAAGCTCTGAGTACTCATACTTTCGGGAAGCCTATCTCCTCGTAAGGACCATCTCCCAACACATATCCACCATGTAAGAGGTGTATGACTCTGCCTTTCTGCTTCTCGCCATCTTCTTCTTCACCTCAGCTGTGCCAATACGCTCTCAGCGTATATTCGTGTCATTCTGGTGACGTCCGCGCTGACCGCAATGACGCGTGAAACGATCGTCCGTAATTGCGCTCTCACTTCTTCGTCCCTGCTTTCTCATCCAAACGAACGCTGCGAATAACAATTCGCTGTCCAGCAGGCCAAACACATGCCTGCAAAGCCACCATTTCGATCCCCAGGACCCCCACTTGCACGTGAGTCTTGTCGCTCCGTTCGTGACAACATGATGATGCATACCACTCCACTCACTCTGTTGCGACACTCGAGGTTCATCGGTGTAGTACCGACGTTGGGATACTAATGCAGCATCGGTGCAGCAACGGTGCCGCATCAGGCAGCGTTAAACAGGCGCGTAGTAATGGTCATTTCAGTTGCGCCCGTGTAGCACGAGGAGCTGATGCAGGCATGTGCGTCTGTGATTCTTCGCCGCGACTTTCGACTTTGCAGCTGCACCAGCAAGGAGCCCCTCGCAGACCCGATTCGGCACCACGATACTGCCCCGTCTTGCAAAGCAAGAGTGCCTCGTGCTCATCCCGCCATCGTGCCTTGCGAGCCTCCATGGGGTCGTCGGGTGGGACATGATTATGAAACGCTTTGAGTATTTGAGTATGTTTTAGGGCCTGGGGAGATGACGCGCCGCATCCTTGAAGGGTCCAGGGACGCTTGGGGATTCGGGCGAATCGGGTGTTCGGGCTTCTGCATGAGCCTTAAGGCGCTCCAAAACGTGTTCATTTCAAGGAATGAGTAATTTGTGCGAGGACACCCCACACGATACGTATGGTCACTTGGGGTGGGCAACCATCTTGTTGTGGAAGGTCTGTCGAGACTCGCAGGCTTCTACCCTGATGTGCGCACACCGTCAGACTACCCCCCCCCCGAAGATAAAAGCATATGATCAGTGCCATTGCCCACCACCCGCCCCATTCCAATGTCGATTGCAGTCGCTGTGGCGCCAAGTGGTGCGCGTTCCGCCTACTTTGGGCGGGGAGGGGAGGGGGGAATTTATTCGCCCACCTGATCGGCCGACCCATCGACGTCGACGTCCGAATCATGATTTGTCTGATCGCCGCTCTCATTGCCATGATGACGATCAGCATCGCCATCGCTGTTCCGCCGACCATCATCACCACCTTTGTTGCCATCAGCAGCGTCGCTGCCAACGTCTTCATCTTCATCTTCATCTGCGATACAACTGTCATTGAACGTTGTATTGCCATTGTTTGCGACATTACGATTTTCGCGCGCATGGCGTCGTCAGCACATCTCTCAGGGTCTGCTCATCCATTCTTTGCTTTGGGGGATTGACGGCGGTGACCGCCCCAGCGACGATGTATTTCAGGATGGTTGCACATTGGCCCCGCGCCTTTGTCGCCGCGCGCGTGTCCGCAGTGCTATTGCGCTGCCGCTGTTCGCGCCGTCAATCGCGTGCCGTACGCGTTTGCCAGGGCACTGCGCGTTAGCCGCGTGATCTGGCCCGTGGTCCGCGGCAGAAGCTAGTTACCCTCGTGATCTTTCACACGGAAGCACTGCGTACTCATACCTCTTGTAGGTGGAGATCACAGCGGCCACCTGGCTTTTCACACGGATCACGGGCCAGATCGCATGGATCACGCGTGCCACTGCACTTTGACCTTGCCGCCGACGAGAACGAACATGACGATGCAGCGATAGAGCTGGCAACGTCCGCCTCGCTCGCCACCGGCGCAGACTCTGTCAGGAAACAGCCCCCTTCATTCTAATCCACTCAGGCCTGCCTCACCTTGACTTCGATGTGGGGGTTGCGTCGAGTGGCATGGGTAACCAGCGTAGAAGAGGGCGTTGCATCATGGGGTTGATGCTGGTCACATCTATCGCACTTCTGGCATTCGCTCCTATCTGGCTGAGCTCTGAAGGACCTGCACATCTCATGGCATCATCCTCCGTCTGCCCGTGGCCGTCCCCAACTGATCAGTGATGGCTGGCTTTCTCCTTTCTGGCCCGATATCGTGCTGGAACGCGGGGCTCCAGCCCGAACGCGTTGCTCGCACCCTGTTGCTATCGGCGCCCAGCCCAGCGACGCACGCCACACATTTTTTTTGTTTGTCTGCGGGTCGAGAGCGAGCCTCCTCCGGTTAAGAGCTAGGCGGGCCGCGCAAAGCACTAATTGGGGAGACAGAGCACAGGCGGGCGGGGGGCCTCAGGCGGCTGGAGGGCGCGGGGTGCAGGCGGTGCTGAGGAGCTTGCACAGGAAAAGGAACGCCTTGGACAGGAGCCGGAGGCGAAGTCCCAGAGGGTGACGCACGCCACACATCCAGACGCACTCGAAGCGACGCGCACGTCCGCTTGCCCCCGACGACGCCTGCGGATAGGCCCGCGCAGCTGAGCCGATGCTGGTGGCGATCCGCCGCGCGCGCCGGGCGCGCGAGAGGAGTAGGGGCCCGCCGGCCCACCCGTGGCGGGCCTTGGCTGCAGGCGGGCCTGTCCCTCTACAGGAGGGATGTGCAGACATAGCCCCCAAAATCATCGGGGGACGACGTTTTCAGTATTTTTCTGGACATCTCGGTGGTCTTTAGTTGGGTATTTCTCATTTTTCGTTCGAGTTCCGCCTGTAGGGGGACAGGCCCGACCTAAGCCTTGGCACAGAAGGGTGGCGTGGATGAGCCTGCGGGGTGACGTGCTCCGCGGGCTGATGGTGCGCTCTGGGCCCGCACGCTGGGGTCGTGCACCCGGGGGCAACTTGTGGGCCCGCTGGGGGCCCTGCCCGTGGCCGGGCAGGGCCGCGGAGGACGTCCCTGGCGGGGTCGCGGGTTGGGAGGAAGCGGAGAGAATGTTGATGCTGCTGATGCTGCTGATGCTGATGATGGTGCTGATGCTGATGCTGCTGATGGTGCTGCTGATGATGATGAAGATGATGATGGTGATGGTGGTGATGCTGATGCTGATGCTGATGCTGATGATGCTGCTGATGATACTGATGGTGATGCTGATGCTGATGCTGATGCTGATGCTGATGCTGATGCTGACGATGCTGATGCTGATGACGATGATCATGATGCTGCTGATGCTGATGTTGATGATGCTGCTGATGCTGATGCTGATGATGCTGCTGATGATGATGCTGCTGATGATGATGCTGATGCTGATGCTGCTGATGCTGATGGTGATGATGATGCTGATGCTGATGCTGATGCTGATGGTGATGATGCGTGATACTGATACTGATGCTGATGGTGATGCTGATGCTGATGCTGATGATGATGATGCTGATGGTGATGATGGTGATGCTGATGCTGATGGTGATGATGATGCTGATGCTGATGCTGACGATGCTGATGCTGATGATGATGCTGAAGATGCTGATGGTGATGATGATGCTCATGATGCTGCCGATGATACTGATGCTGATGATGATGCTGATGCTGATGCTGATGCTGATGCTGATGATGCTGATGCTGGTGATGATGCTGATGATGCTGCTGATGCTGCTGATGCTGATGCTGATGATGATGATGATGATGATGATGATGATGATGCTGATGATACTGATGCTGATGATGATGCTGATGATGCTGCTGATGCTGACGATGCTAATGCTGATGCTGCTGATGCTGATGCTGATGCTGATGCTGATGCTGCTGATGGTGCTGCTGATGATGATGAAGATGCTGATGGTGATGGTGGTGATGCTGATGCTGATGCTGATGGTGATGATGCTGCTGATGATACTGATGCTGATGGTGATGCTGATGCTGATGCTGATGCTGATGCTGATGCTGACGATGCTGAGGCTGATGATGATGCTCATGATGCTGCTGATGCTGATGTTGATGATGATGCTGATGCTGATGCTGATGATGCTGCTGCTGATGATGATGATGCTGCTGATGATGATGCTGATGCTGATGCTGCTGATGCTGATGCTGATGATGATGCTGATGCTGATGCTGATGCTGATGCTGATGATGCATG